CTGCTGCTGCTGCTGCTGCTGCTGCTGGGCTTCCCAGCCTTGCGCTCCAGCCAAGCTTGGCCAGGCGGGTGGCACAGGGGAAAGGGGAGAAAGAGAGAGGGGTTTATTCCCCCCACCCAAGTGGGGAGGGCTGAGGGGCTCCTGGACAGACCCACCGCCCCAAATAAAGCCACGAGCCTTTGAAATAAAGGTTAAGGCGCCGCAGCCTTGCGAATCTCTCCATCGCCGCCAGGCAAAAATAAAGAAAGAAAAGAAGAGAAACCACGTCCCTACTTTTCCTGACAAGGGCTGCAAAATTGCGCGCAGTGGCACGCTTTTCCTGGGCCTTACAACTACTCCAGGTGGGAACTTAAACCTTGTGCCTTCGAGGGCTTTCCGACTCGTGGCCACCCGGTCGTGGGCTTTTCTTGGCAAGGTCAGCTGAGAGAGTGTGACTGACTTGTCCAAGGTAGCCTCATCCAATGGTACTTTCCTATGGGAGCTTGGGTGATTTGCCCAAAGCCATCCTGTGGGTTTCATGGCAAGGCAGGGTATCAAACCCTGGTCTCTAGATTGCTCGTCCAATGCTCAAACCACTGCACCACACTGTTTCTTTCATATATAAATTATATATATATATATATATATATATACATACATACATACACACACACACACACACTTATATATGCACTCATCCCTCCACCTTTGCGGCTTTGACTTTTGCGGGTTTGATTATTCACAGATTTTATTACTCTAGGAATATCTAGGTCCTCCACTGCAACTCTATGGTCAACATTAACCAAAAGTTGCAGTGAAAGACCTAGAGATTCCTAGAGAGAACACTCCACTAGGCATTTGTAGCTCCTCCAGCACAATTCTGTGGTCAATGTCTGGCAGATGTTACCACAGAGTTGCACTGGAGGACCTAAAGATTCCTAGAGAGGTGTTCCCTTTTTTAATTTTGTGGATTTGATTATTCACATACTTTATTATTATGTTGCCAAGAAAACCCCATGATAGTTTCACCTTGGGCTCACCATAAGTCAGAAATATCTTGAAGGCACACAATAGCAACAACAACTGGGGTTTCCAAATAAAAATAAAAAGCAATGGGTTAAAGTAGCATCTAGAAGAAGGGAAGTAATCTGACTTAGGAATGTGCTGAAAAATAACCTCTCTCAGACATTTGCAAGGAAAAAATGGGACAGATGTTATATATACAAGTTTATTTGCTACTATAAATTGGTCATCTCACTGCATCTGCAGACTCCTTCTAGTTATGCCTTTCTGCCCAGAGAGTGGTACATGTGTAAGGGCCCTTTTCACAGGTTGCCATTATGTATGTTGGCAAAGAGGGCATGGCTTGTTGACAGAGCTCCAGTCATTCACATTTGTCCTTTTGGAAGTTCGCCCTCACAAATCCCTGTAAGCGTTGGGGTGTAGTGGTTCAAATGTCAGAATGGAACGTGGAAGATTCAATTTGAGTCTTCACTGAGCCATGAAATTCCTGAGTGACCTTGTTTCAGTTATTGCCTTCCATTTTGCCCTGTTTCCAGAGGATTTTTAAAGATAAATTAGAGCTTAAGAGCATCATATATGCCATTTTGTTCTCACCAAAGGTTTGTTGAGATATCATTTTAACAAATGTAGAATCTTTGAATATACATTTCAGAGCCACACCTGACAATTAGGGCTAAAGCCAAATTGCTAATCCCAACTAGAATGAGTCTAAGGAATCAGTGGGAATGTGGTAACCCAACATTGATGTACATTCCATGGAATGAATGGTTTTATTCCAATTTGAACTATACATTGGATTGTTAAGAGCAAAATCTCCCTACTTCTTTCCTAGTATGAAGTAGCATGCCAAAAAGAAGGCATCTGATAGAGTACACTTCCTCGGGGGGGGGGGGGGGGGGTGTTGGAGTCTCCTCTTTGGAGGTTTTGAAACAGAGGCTGGATCTGTCAGGAATGTTTTGTGTATTCCTGCATTACAGTGATTTGGACTTGATGACCCTTGAAGTCTCTTCCAATTCTGAGATTCTATGAACATAGTGTAGTAGTTTGAGTAGCTGGGAGACTAGGATCTGAGTATCTGCTTGGCCATAGGTCATCTTGGGCAAGTGACACTCTCTAGCAGTAGAGAAAGGCAATTACTAGCCTCCTCCTCTGAAGAAATCTTGCCAAGAAAACTCTGTGATAGGGCTGCTGTAAGTCAGAATTGAGTTAAAGGTCTATAACAATAAAAACAGAATGTAGGAACATTCCTTTTTCCAACCACATCTCCCACAATTATCTAGCCAGCATGAGCACTTCAGAAAGATGTAGCCCAAAAGGTAGGTTTTCTAAGCTCCATTCTGAAAAAGCCTTCTCCTTGACATGCTAATTTGGATTAGATTGTTACATTTGTTCATTTGTTTGTTTACACAAGGAAGTGCCTTGGGCAACTCTGCCAGTTTCATTACTTACCACATTTTGATTTTTAAAAAAATCTCAAGTTCCTTCTGTCAAATTTATAAAGAAATGAAATTGGGTACTTTAGAAAGTTCTTATCCAAAAAGAAACCCAATGAAATTCTCCCCCAGACCTGCTAGGCATGTGCCATTTCTCACATCCATTCCGTAGAATTTCCTGTTTCATGTTTTCAAGTATTTGTTGTTCTTGTTGATGTATTCCTTCAAGTCATTTGTGATTTATGAAGATCCTAAGGTGAGCCTATCATGGGGTTTTCTTGGCATGTTTCTTCAGACAGTGTTTGCCATTGCCTCCTCCGAGGCTGAGAGTGTGTGACTTGCCCAAGGTAGCCTCATCCAATGGTATTCTATGGGAGCTCAGACTCAAAGTGTGTATGCACACTATTTATTCTTTGTAAGAGGCTGGGTATTGGGACATTGGTTGATATGGTAGAGTTATGAATTTCTCCTGTTGTTATGTAATACTCACCTGATTGTTGGGTTCTGCTGTTCCCTCATTTTCAGTGTATAAAGCGTAGATGATTTAAAAACCAAATTCTGTTTTCCAGTAAATTGTCAATCATGTTTGTTGAGCAGTGAATTTTAGAATGCAACATTCAGCTGACAGATACCACAAGAGTCCAAACTATGGCAATGCTTGTCTCAGAATGATTGACAACAAATCTCAAAAAGGTACAGTTCTATATTTCAGAAGGCCCCTATTAACCAATATGCTAATAAAGATTCTGGGTCCTGATTTACAACAGGTGTATCAAAGAGAATTAGGTAAATTAAAACTGTAAACAAAGAAATAATAATGCACTTACAACTGAGTACTGCAGAGTTGCAATATATCTTGCAAGATATGTCTCCAGAAATCTAGTATACTTTCCCCAAGGTACGTGTCTATAACATATTTTAAGGGACAATTTGCAATCCATTTGGGAAGGTATTTAATCCAATTGGAGCCTTTTCCCTATACAATTTATATAATTTCTTGGTCTCTCCACCCCGTATTTTAAAGGCAATGGCACAGGTGATGTAGCTTGCCAATGCACACATGGAATAATACTTTGTCTTTAATCACAAGTTTTAGCCTCTTAACAAAGAAATAAAAGAAAAGAAAAGAAACTCTGCATGTACCCTGTTCTTTGTAGTAAGTCATGCAGTTTACTTGATGCTACTTGAGCCTGTGGCCACAAGCAACAAAGTAATACGTCAGAAGTGAAAGTGTTTTGGTTTTATTGACCCACCTGTAAAATACAATATGATCTTCATATTTTATATCTGTAGGATCTGGTGCTGGAGGCCTCAAGACTGTGTAACCTTTTTGCTTTACATGTGTTTAGCTGAGTCCTCTCTTCCTAACCAAGCTATTTTGTTGCTATGGTGATCAAAAAATATTTCTGTTACACTCAATTCACACACCAGTCAGTCTCGCTTATTATTTCAAAGGTGATCAAATAGAGGGTGACAATTTAGGAATCCCACAAGAAGGGAGATTTTTTTTTTTAAAATATCCTCAACACATTTCTGCCTTTTCTCTTTCTGGACTTAACAAAGACTTTGATGACATCACCATCTTAAATGTGTATGGTTGACCAATAGAAAGCTATAGAATTGTTAGATTCTTCCACACTAGAGGGAGATACACATTTGTTATACTTCTAGTCCTTTATGTTAATATTTGCTACAATTTTAGTCTTCAGTGGTTTGCACTGTTTCACTTTGAATGAAAACAACAGTTATATTAGCGAAATATTACTATTCTTGTATCTTTTCACAGAAAAGAACTGATACTTTCATATAATCAAATCTTCGTGGGATTAGGCACCTCTTTAAAAACATAAAAAAAATATAGAGTCCATTCCCCCAAAAAATCACTTAAACATAATTTTCAAAATAACAGAAAATACAAGAGAGAGATAAATTGTACTCAGTTCATGGATGGGTACTTCTGAAGAAATTCACTGTAGAAATAATTCAGTTTGACACCACTTTAAGTGCTGTAGGTCCACCCTGTGCAATCCTGGGATGTGTAGCTTTAAAAGATCTTTAGCCTTGCAGTGCCTCACAAAACTATAAATCCCAGGTGGCACCATCTGCTGGTGACTCACAAAATTGCAAATCCCAGGATTCTGTAGTATGGAACCATGTCAGTTAAAGTGGTGTCAAACTGCATTATTTCTACAGTATAGATGCTCTCCATGGGAATACACTATTCATTTGCAATTGGAATTAAGTGGTTCATTTCCTAATGTGGTTCACAGTGCACTGAACTGAATTTTTGTGCAAGTGTGATGACTGAATTTGCATCTGCTTTAGCAGTATAGCCAGGATTGCTTGCAGAAGAACTTGTGTAGGATGGTCCAAATGAGAAATAATGCCCAGATCATTGACTAACCATGGTTTGTGATTATACCAATACTTAATATTCAGGAGGGGAGAGAATGTATGTTATCTTCATGGAAGTGCTTGCAAAGGGAGAATGAGAAGGAAAACAATATTCAGGACAAGACTGTGCAAGCTGCAAAAGAAAAAAGGGGGGAAAAGCCAGTATGATCTATGTAGATTGTAAAATCTGGAACTACAATAGCTACTGCTGCTGTGATTAAATGTTAGAAGAACAGATACTCCATACTGCTTCTGTCTAGCATTTTACATTCTTCTAAGAGAGGACATACATTAGCAAGAAATATCAGAAGCCCAAATAGAAGCAAAATGATGTACAACCTCTCTGGATGAATCTCTGTTTTAAAGAGGACTACTTGTACTCTTAGAAAGGCAACCCCATTTGCACAACCTTATGGTCCTTTTGCCAGAAGGACAAATAGGTACACAACCAGAAAAACAAAGGAATAGGGGGACACAAAAAGTGTGAAGGCATTTTAAGTGGTTGAATACCAAGGGAAACACAGTGGTCAGAAGGAAGGAGGTCACAAGCTGCTTAGAAAAGGTATTGTTTGTTCTAATCAAAGTTATCTTTTTCTCATTATCACTAGTAAATATAAGGATGCAGAAGTAACCAGAGGGCCAAATAGGGTTTTGCGGCCTCACAATGTTTCACCATGTTCATTCAGGTCACAAAAGTGCAGCACATTTTCTGGCTTTGGGATCATTGTATACTTTCCGTTTGCATAGAAAGCATCTTCTTA